TCCCCCTCTCGCTGTGTCTCCCTCTGTCAAATAAAAAAATAAATAAAAAAAAACAAACTTAAAAAAAAAAAAAAAAGAGTAGCTTATGAGAGAAGAGCTGGAGGCTGGGCGCTGGGGCAGGACACGTGCGGACCTAGTCCCAGCTCCCAGGGCTGTGCCAGCCTCAGCAAATCCCGCTAACCTCTCTGGGCCTTGGAGTCCTTATCAGCAAGCGGGGCTCAGGAGATGCTCTCGTTGGGTGGAGAGGTCCAAGGAGGGAGGAAGGGAGCACTGTGGGGGAGCGGGGAGGAGCGGTGATTTTCCTGCCTCTCCATCACTGCCTTTTGCCCTGGATAGGGAATCATTCCTTCCTCTCTGCCACCCACCAGCTAGACCCAGCCCCCCGCTGCCCCCATCCCGCCAGCGTAGGTCTGCACAGGGCCCAGGGCGGGGTCCGTGGTGCAGGGATGGAATGGGATCCCGGGATATGATCACTCAGGGTGAGATGGCAGACAGGAACGGGAAGAGCTGGGATGAGTGGGGGGGGGTACACCTGCCCTGCCCCACCACCCCAGGGGGAGGGCGCGGGGGGGGGGCAGGGTTATGGGGGAGCCGAAGCCACCAGGGCCACTTTCCTGGCTTTCCCGACATGCTGCTGCCTGGAGCCCAGGAGGGGCTGGCCATCTGCCAGCCCTGAGTGGAAATGTCCCAGTAAAAAGGGCCCTATCGGCATCCCTGGGGAGAGGCCCCTGGGTGCTGTCCCGGAGGAGTGAGAGACTGGGAACCTGGGGGGCCGCTGGAAAGGGATCCACCCCACGCAGCACTCCCTCCCTCCTCCCCGCCCTCCTGGCGGCTCACCCCAGGTTCAAGTACACTCAGGGGCATGGGTGACCCACAGCAGTGGGGAAGACAACCGGGAATTTGGGGGGCAGGGGTCGCTGGGAGGCTATGCGTGAGTGAGTGTGCTTCTAGCTGTGTGTGCTCTGGGTCTTTGTGTGCGCGGCGTCTCTGTGCCGTGTTTCTCTGGTGTCTGTAGAGTGTGTCTGATGTTCGTGTGTCTCCGGTGTTTCTCTGCCGTGTGTGGTGTGTGTGTGTGTGCGCGCGCGTGGTCTCTGTGTGCTGTGCATCTCCGTGGTGTGTGTGTGTGTGCGCGCGCGCGCGTGGTGGCCCGTGCGCCCTGCGTCCAGTGGGCCTGTGGGCGGGTGTCCCTGTGTGTGTGTCTGTGCTGTGAGTGGCAGGTGTGAGGCTCAGGGCCCACGCTCAAGGTCCTCTGGACACAGAATCCATGCCGTCGGGGCGGGTAGTGGGGGCGGAGAGAAGGCAGGAGAGCAGGCCGGCCGGAGAGGAAGAGCAGAGCCCCGCGCGGGGAAGGGGCGGCAGGGAGGCGGGGAGGGGCGGGCCCCCGGGGGGAGGGGCGGGGGGAAGGTGGCAGCGCGGCGCCCCTCGCCCCGCCCCAGTCGCCACAGGGGGCCTGGTCCCGGCCGCCCCGCGCCCCCATCGCCCGTGCGCTCCATGCGGGCCTCGATTTCCAGGCTCGTCGTTGGCCGCGCGATGCCAGCTTAGCAGTTTTTTGCTTAACTGCAACCAAAGGCAGCAAGGAGAAGTTGGGGGGTGGGGTGGGGAGCGGGGCGTCCCCCCCAGGCCCCGCCGCGACCCCGGGGCAGGTGGAAGGCGGCGGCGCGGGCCCGCGGCGGGAGGAGGGCGCGGGCGGGAGCCGCGAGCGCAGCGCGAGGGGAAAAGTTTCCGACCCCCGAGCTGGAGGCTGAGAAGTTTCTGCCGCGCAGGGCGGCGCCAAAGCCAGGCCAACACTGCCCCCGCGTGGGCGCGGCGCGGCGCTTCAGCGGGCGGCGGGGCGAGGGCCCGCCGCGGCCCTTGGGGAGAAACTGAGGCTCAGAGAGGGCGAGGCGGGGTGACACACACGCAAGGTCATGGGGGCGGGGGCGCGGTAGAATCAAGGCTCTCCAGGAAATGGAAATACTAGGGCGGGGTGGGGGTGCCGTGAAAGCGCAGGAAAGGGGACGGAGGGGAGTCATCCCTGGGATCGAAACCCCATTCAGTCCCCAGGGAAGGGGAGTTGTAGGAGTGGCGCCCATCCCATCCACCACAGGGTTTCTCCATACTGCCTAGATCTGTGGCCTTTCTTCTGGCAGCAGAGCACCCCTGCAAAGCAGATCCTTCCCACCCACGACCCTCCTGGCCCTAAGATCCGCACCGCCTGTCCCCTGCCCAGCACCCCCCATCCCATCCTTCCCTATTCTGCAGGGTGCCTGGGTGTGGATTCCGTGGCTGTTTCCTCACTGGCCAGGAGGTGGCGATAAAGACCTGGATCCTCGGCTTGGCGAGGGGTTTGGGGCCAAAGCGCTGCTTGGGCAGAGGGGAGGGGGCTTAAGCTTCGCCCAGGAGATTGGAACCCAGGTGTGGCAGGGCCAAACCTGGCCGCCGGGAGTATGGGGCTGGCGATGCTGAGTCAGTGCAGCGGTCGGACCAACGCCACCCGGTCTTTTGCCACCTCTTGATGTGATTTTAAACACTGCCCACTCCTCCTCCCTCCACCACTAGGAGAGAAACATCTAGTCCCCACCCACCCTGGATGCTTGCCCTCCAGGGACCTGGGGAATGCAGAAGACAAACGTTTGTCCACCCCGTTGGAGTCGGGACACCCTTGCTGCCCGGTGGAGGTCAGCAAGTAGCCTTTGGTTCCAGTCAAAGACGGAAGCTGGGGCCGGGGCTCGGGGCTCAGGGCAGGTGCCTGTTTCAGGTGTGGGTTGATCTAGGTTGACAGAAGCTTGGTCCCAGGTTTGAAGTGTGTGGCAGGGCCTCCCCCTTCCCAGAAGAGGGGTTCACCTGGAACAAGTCCTAGCCCCTGACGATGGCTTGCCCCCACCCCTCAGCCTCATCCCAGCCATGACTTTGTCCTCTCCCCCTCCCTGATCCAGGACCCCTGGCACCTAGAGAGGCTTGTGGGGTGAGACGTGGTGGCAGGTCCCAGCCATCTGGAATGCATGTTTATTTGTGGGGTGAGAAAGGCCTCTCTTCACCCCCTGGCCCGCGTCCAAGCCCATGGGCTTGGGCTCCAGCAGACATTCACCTGGGAGCCTCCTGTGGTGTCATGGAAGGCAGGAGGGGCTGGTAGCCCTTAGGGCATCCTCGCTTCAGGACGGTGTGCAGCACCAAGCTGGGCAGGAAGGATTCCTACAGAGACCAGGAGGACCAGCTGGAGGCTGTGGGGTCCCTCTGGGCTGGAGACGTGGCTCCCTGGGCCCAGGGGGATTCTATACCCCAGCCCAAGGGGGCAGGCACGGGGGTCAGCCCCATTGTACAGATGAGGGAATGCAAATGCAAAAAGACCCCAGTGCTTGCAAGTATGGGGCTGGGAATCCAAACCCAGCTCAGAGCGAGAGCCCAGCCCTTAGCCATGTGCAAGGAGGCTTCACCTGGTACCCCAGCCACCCCACTGGGCAGGGGTTCTCCGGGTGGCTGGCTGTCAGCAGGTACTCACCAGCTTCCGGCTCTAGGAGCAGGGCGATTTGCCCTCCTGCCCCAGGATGTTGTCGGTGTCCAGCAAGGTTTGGAGGTCACCTCGTGGCCTCTGTGTGGTGGCCCTGGGGATGCAGGGCAGGCTGCTCTTCACGGAGGCATCCTCAGAGAGGTGACCCGGTGGCTCCTGGATGGGCCTGAGGGGGACAGGAGCCTGTGAGCTGCATGGACCCTGAATCCCACGTCCATCCATGGCTGGCAGGGCCCTCAAGGCTGCGACCCTTGGCCTGCCTGCTGCTGGATGGGGTCGTCTACAGGGTGAGGAGGGGGTGCCTGGCAATGCCTATGAATCCCGTCCCCTTCCCCAAAGCCTCACAGGCCAGGGCAGTCCCAGCCGAACGAGATGTTGGCCATGGCCTCCTCCTTGGCCCTGGGGCACAGGGCTTTGGGCGAACTCTCCAGCCATCTCCCGACACTCCCGAACACCCCTTCTGATGTCATTGACTGCGGAGCTATCCCATTCTCAATGGTACCCTGCCGGACTGGAGGAGAGAGAGCTCCAGTGAGATCTCTACCTGGGGCGGGGGTGTACCGACACCCCCACTCTCCCCTCCTCCCTCTCTGGCAGGCAAGGCCGGGCACAGCCCTGTCTCCATGGCAACCCAAGGCTCCCCAGTGCCTTATGGCTGTCTCCAGAGAAGGCTCAGGTTTTAAAACTATCTTGCGTGACTGTTTCTGCCTTTACCACCCAAACTGTGCCCCCCCCCACATACCCACTCCTACTGCAGGCCCAAATGGGCCTTCTTTCCCATAGTGGGAAGGCCAGTCACGCCACCGTGGAAATTCAGAGACAATGCTGAGACTCCCGCAGGAATGGAGGGGTTAGGACTCTTCCCTGCCCGATAGCTGCCCTTCCGGCTGGTCAGGGGCCCCAAGTTCCCCAATGGCTGCCTCCGGATGGAAAGGGCTGGGAAGCAGTCAGCCGAGAGAGCCCCACTCTGGTGCCCTGGGATGTGACCACAGCTCCTGTGGCCACTGGGCCCCAAGGAAGCTTCTCCTGAGCTAGCTAGCTGCCATTCCCATGAAACGGTTTCTCCCTGGGAGCACCCCGGCCTCTCTTCTCGGCTGCTGTGTCACCTGCTCTCGGAAGCTTTGGCTTCCCCGTCAAACAACAAGAAGCTGGACAAAACTGCAGCTTCTATTTCCAACTTCCTATGACCCTAAGGGGCCTGGGTAGGGTCCCTCCTGAATCAGCAAGGATCCTGGATTTTAGGGCTTTACCCACAGCTAGGCTTTGGAACAGCCACGTTTCCCGAAACTGCACACAGTACTTGGTCAATAAATAGATGCAAGCTCTTGGAGGCCCTGGGGCTGCTAGCTCCTGAGAAGTGAAGAGGCTGGGCTGATGGAGAGAGGGGCGGGGGGCTTGGTAAAGGTTATACCAGAGCAAGGACACGCATTCTTCCCACCTGCTTCTTGACACCCACTTCAGAAAACACTGGAAACTGTGCCAAAGCAGACACCACCACATCCATCCCCAAGGAGCCGAGGGCAAACTTCCATCTCAGAACCCGGGCCTGGTGGTTCCTAGCTTCTTTGCTGGACCAGCCAGTGCCAGACTTCCCCAGAGAGAAGGTTTGGTCTTCTGGACCTTTCTGGGCAACTCCTCAGCCAGGCAGGCCTTCATGGATATGGGAAGAAGATGCTCTAAGTGCCTTGCCACCTGCTTCAGTCCCTGTAGGCCATGGAGGGGGCCAGACGTGGGAGGTGGGAGGCTGTGTGTGTGTGTGTCTTCCAAGGTGGGCAGCTGTGGCACGTGGGAACCCGTGGCAGCAAGAAAGTCTTCAGTGGTGGCCAGGCCTGGGCAGCCATTGTTTCCTCCACTGTGACTGCTCCCCGGTGCCACCCATGTTGGGACACCTCTGCGGGACCTCGGACCCTCTCCTTGGTCTTCGAGGCCCTCCTGACACTTTCTGGAGAAGCCAGTTCAGGCCCCTTCTCGGCAGAGCCAGTGGATTCCTAGCCTCTGCAGGCTGGCCCTTACTCCCAGGACCCAGGGCCACAGTCTCTGCTCTCTGGGCTCCAGGCTGGAACTTTTGAGTCCTGGGGCGCCCTGCCCCATCTGCTTACCTACACAGCTCCGCTCCCAGTAGCGGAGCGCCGTGTCCCGCAGGGTCTCATCGGCGAATCGCACTCGGAAGGGGCAAAACCGTCTGCACTGTCCTGAGCCTGCCCCCGAGGAGCTGTGGGTGAGCACAGCCTTGAGCTTGGGGACCTGTGCACCGTGGGGCCTGCTGAGAGAGACGAGAGGGGCAGGGGAGGGTCAAGGCCTGAGCCCCCAGCCCCACATTCCACCCCAACAACACACGTCCACTGGACCAGCGCTCGCTGTGTATCCTGACACCCACAGTGTCTGGCCTCTTCTGGGAGTACTTCATGCCTGCCAGGCAGTGGATCATGCATGCAACACGCATCAGCCCGTTACACCCGCACAACCGGGGAAACATGACTGTTGTTCTCATTTTACAGATGAGCACACTGTGGCACAGAGATGTTTTGCAACTTGCCCAAGGTCACGCAGCCGGTAACGGGTAGAGCCAAGATTTTTTTTTTTTTTTTTTTTTGAGCCAAGATTTGAATCTTAGTTCCAGAGCTGGCAATCCTATATATCAAGCAATTCAGCAGAGGGAAGAAGGATATGAACTTGAGCGTCAAGAACGCCTGGGTTTCAACCCTAACTCTTTTAAGCCTCAGTTTCTTTATCTGTAAAATGGGGATCATCCTTGTGCCCACCCCATGGGGTGGCAAGATGAAATAAGTGTGTGGTGCCCAGAGTAAGCCTCTCTGACGTCAAGCTATTCTTATAATGAGTCTCAGCTGCGCCTCTACCCACGCACGTGAGTTTGGGCAGACCACACTCGAGTCCCCCATTTTGCAGTCTTCCCTGCTCAGTTATGTATTATATCGTGTAAGCACGATAATAGCCTCCTTCTAAGAGTTTGGTAAGTATCAAATAACTTACGGGAGGCATCTAGTACAAGGCCTGGCATGGGGCCCGCGCTCAGTAAAGGGCATTCTGTTATTGTTACATTTATTAATTTCAGCCTCAAGGGCAAGGCTGCGGGAGGCCCTGCTTGATCCATCCATGGCTCTGTTATTCAGAAATGCCACGTTCAACCTTAAGGGCACACGTATTGATGTATCTGCATCCATTTATCTGACTACATCTTTATGTCTGTGCGGACACGTAAGGGGTACTTTCATCAGCCCACAAAAGAGCCAGGCAGCCGGGAGATGTCCCAGACCTAGTGAGCCAACAGTTAGTTGTCTGCTTATCAACCCCTGGCCTGTGCTGGCCTCAGAGCTAGACACAGGTGCACCCTGGCTCTGCCCAGGGGACTGAGATCTCAGCTTCTCCTATCAGAGGCTGCTGGAGCCCATTCCCATCCACCCTGGTGTCCCCTGCAGGGCCTACCAGGGAATCGCACACACCACGAGGTGCTCAAGTATTAGCTCTTAAATGTGAAACACCGTGACTGCGTCCACCCCTGCTGTTTGTCATATTTGAGATAACGAGTTCCATACTTTTATTTATTATATCTTGTGAGACATAGTGTGTTTATTTGATTGATTTAAAGTTCCTGGCTCGGCAAATGTGTTTCACTTCTGGCACCTTCTCTGAGCCATCGGTGGTGTCGGCCTGGAGCACTGTGTCCAGAAGGGTTCGAGGCCCAGTGGCGGGAAAATGCTGGGATCGAATAGTACTGTCAGGCATGGGTCCAGAAGGAGAAGGAATGGCATGTATGTTGTGTATTTACTCTCTTTGGTCTTAAAAACCCATGGGCAATGCTCTTCACCTTTCACCTCGGTTTAAGCCTGTTTATGCTGAAGGAGTTTTTTCTGCATTCTTTTCCCCCTTCATTAGAGCTATGGCATCGAGGTCCAGGTAAGCTCTAATGCCCAGGCTCTTCTCCTATCTCCATCCCTTATCTCATTTCCCCCGATATCTGACATATAGCAAAACCTAATAAAAGTTAGAGGAAGAAATGGACGAATGAATGGTGGGATGGGTAAAAGGATGGAAGACTGGGTGGGTGGGTTCGTGGATAGATGGACTCCTGAATGAGTTAATGAAAAGGTCTGAATAGAAGGACTGGATGTTAGGAGGATGGGTGGATGTATGGCTGGTGGATGAATGCCTCTGTATATGGCGAGTGTGTGGACTCGTAGATGGCTTCATGACAAGTTATAGATGGACAGTGCCCTGGATTTACAAGTGCATGGAAGGATCTGTAGATGACTGATCATTGAATTCATGGACAGGTGGATAGAATCATCAGAGTTTCTGGTTAGAAAGATGACTGGCTAGATGGATGAATGGATGGATGGAGAGATTCCAATGGATGGGTTGTAGAAGACCTGGTTCACAGAGAAGATGTATGCAGGGATGGATAGGTGAATGAGAGCAGGAATATCTGAATGGATTCATGGATGGATTATGAATATGTTGGCAGAAGACCTGATGAATGGGTGGATGGATTCATAGATGTTGATGGATAATCCTTGGATAGGTTGGGAGGAGACCTGCTCTGGGATAGATCTATGTATTGATAGGTAAGTGGATAGACGGATGGATGGATGGATGGATAGATGGATGGGTGGATTCATAGATGGTTTATGAATGGTTTGTCAGAAGACCTGATTCACGGATGGACACATAGACGGATGTACAGGTGGACAGATGGATAAATTCATGGATGAGAGACAGGAGGAAAGAAAAGAAGAAATGCTCTTTCTCCCCAGCCCCCTACCTCCAGTCTCCTGTAACTTACTGGTTGGCCTTCCTGAGGGTGAACTGTGAGTGATCTCTCCTCAGGGTCCCCAGGGCAGGTATCTGATGGAGCAAAATCTTCTTAAGACTATTCTGGAAATACCATGACTGGCCCCTTGAAGACAAACAAGCCACACGTGGCATGAGTGGTCAGGGTCCCCCATCCTCAGAGCACTGTTGGCAACCCTGTCCCCACCAGTGGGTAACTTGACACTTACCGCAGGTCTGGAAGGAAGGAATCGTGGGGACACCGGAGGGAATGGTGGCAGTGCTCTGACACACTCCTTTTTGGTTGTGATGCTGAGGGTGCTGGGAGCCAGGAGAAGGTGGAAATAGCTATATGAGCCTTTGCTTGGGGACAGTCCTTACTAGGCTCTTTTTTTTCTTTTTTAAGATTTTATTTATTTATTTAATTGACAGGAGAGAGAGAGAGAGAGAGAGAGACAGAGACAGAGAGAGAGAGAGAGACAGAGAGAGGGAACACAAGCGGGGGTAGTGGGAGAGGGAGAAGCAGGCTTCTAGCCGAGCAGGGAGCCCGATGCGGGGCTCGATCCCAGGACCCTGGGATCATGACCTGAGCCGAAGGCAGTCGCTTAACCAACTGAGCCACCCAGGCGCCCCTAGGCTCTTTCTAGTTATAGGGCCTTGGGTCTCAGTTTCCTCAACTGTACAAGAGGGGGTTTGGTAGACCCGCCCTCGAGGGGTCGTTGCCAGGGCTCTGCCAGGCCTACTCCACCAACAGTAGCTGCGTCCATCCCGGAAATGACTCCGCCCCGCCCTTGCCCCGCCCCCTGGGGTCCCGGGCGGGGCCTCACTCGGAGGCCGGGGTTCCGCGTGCTCTGCCCGCAGCTGCTGCAGGAGCTCCCGGCACTTGCCGGGGAGGAACTTTCCTAGGAGGGCGCGCAGGGTGGCCGCGCCCCGGCAGGAATCCTCGCGCTCTCCAGGCCCCGTGCGCCGGGGTGCGAGTTCCCGGGGCGCACCGGCCAGGAGCAGGGGCGGCAGCAGGAGCGACCTCAGCCTTGTCGGGTTCTGCGCCGCCCGCTGGGCCAGGGTGGGCAGGGCGGGCAGGCGCGGCGAGGGGCTCCTGACGCCCAGCCCCAGCTCTGGGTGCGAGCAGCCGCCCGGCCACCACGCGCCGCCGCCCTCCGAGGCCCTCAAGCCGCCGGGGAACCCGCGGAGCTGGGGCGGGGGCAGCCTGGGCAGTAGCGGATCTTTCCTTCCGCGAGCGCCGTCGCGGGGGAGCCCCTTGGGCGCCACCTGTTGGGTCCCGGGATTGGGGGGACGCCGGGGCATGTCTGGCCCTGCGCTCAGCTCAGGGCATCCTCATTCCAGTGGGGCGGGGGGTGCCGTGCGAAGTGAAGCGGAGGGCATAGGCCAGCCCCCAGGCCATAGTGCCCGGAGGGGGTGGTTCCTTGTGGTTTGGGAGTAACACCACTGCCTCGTCAGGCAGCGAGTGGCTTCAGGCCAGACCTCGCTCAGCCTCTGTTTCCTCACCTGCAAAATGGTCACGTGAGAGTACACACCTTTCTGCGTTGCTGTGACGTTTAGAGGCGCGAGCGCGTGTAAATGGCATAGAATAGTGCCAGGCACGCTGTTCGTGCTCAACGAAAGGCTAGCTGCTATTACTATTGTTGTTATTATTATTTTAAAATTATTATTATTTAGGGGCGCCTGGGTGGCTCAGTTGGTTAAGCGACTGCCTTCGGCTCAGGTCATGATCCTGGAGTCCCGGGATCGAGTCCCGCATCGGGCTCCCTGCGCAGGAGGGAGCCTGCTTCTCCCTCTGACCCTCCCCCCTCTCATGCTCTCTATCTCTCATTCTCTCTCTCTCGAATAAATAAATAAAATCTTTAAAAAAATTATTATTATTTAGGATTTAGTCTGAGTCCCACTACTTATTAGCTTTGCAACCTTGGACAAGCCAATTGATTAACTTCTCTCAGTGCCCTTATCTGTAGAATGGGGTTAACAGAGCACCTGCTCCCTTGTGACTTAGCCCACTGGAGTGTTCAAGTCCTATTATGCTATTAGCACTCCCCTGGGAATTAGGAAACCTGGAACCAGCTCCAAAGGAGAGACCTGCCCAGCGGTTGCCCAGTCCTGCTGGGGCCTCAGGGCCCCTTGGGTGGAGAGCTTCTTGAAAATACAGATGCCCCAGATTCTGACTCAGTAGGTCTGGGGTGGGGCCAAGACATATATTTTCTTTTTTAAGATTTTATTTTTAAGTAATCTCTACCCCCAACGTGGGGCTCGAACTCACAACCCCGAGATCAAGAGTGGCAAGCTCTACCAGAGCTACTCAGCCAAGAGCCCCAAGACACATATTTTTAACAAACGTGCCCTTTGGGAGACAGAGCCCCACACTTGCCCCCAGCTTCTGACACTGGGGGGTCTTGGAGCCTGCTTCCTCCCTATCGTACCCCACTCCCAGATTGTTTCAGCTCTGAGCTGTCTCCTGGTGTCACACTCACCGCAGGGGGCTTCTGGGTGGGTCCAGAGAAGGTCCCTTGAGTTTAGAGCCCCCTAACCAGTGGGCTGGTCCTTGGGAGACCCCATCTTCCCAGCCTGGTCCCTCTGCTGGACACTCCCTGCTGCCTCCTGGGCCTCTTCAGGGTCATTGTGATCCGCCCCTCACCCAAGGCCATGGGAGGAACAGTGGGCCTGGAGACAGAAGGTGGGGCTTTGTGCTCAGGAAGTCAAGGCTGCACTCACAAGGGGGTGGTGGAACCCCTGACAAGGGCAACCAGGCCCAAGCCAGGGGCGGAGGGCCCGGGGTCCCACTCCCCTCTCTGGGTCTGGGATGCCCAGGTGGGTCAAGTTTGGGCTGGGCAGCTCTGGAAGTACAGCAGTAAGAATGCAGTGGGCCTGGAAGGGAACTGATTTCAAATCCAGGCTCTGCTTCCGTTTGCTACGCAATGCTGGATGAGTTTGTCCGTCCTCAGGGCTCCATCTGGGACTCTCGGCTGGGAGGAGGCAGGGGAGAAGCCTGTACTGTGAAACTTGAGTGGGGGAGAAGGATTGTTTGGACCAGTACTTTTGCTGCCATGGTATCATGTTACAGTTTTATGAGTCTGCCTGGAGGAGGCATCATAGCTGATGCATTTCCATTCTCTGCAAATACTCCTCAACGAGGGATGGAAGGGCATATACCTCAGGAAGTTAGAATATAGAGTGGGAAAGGTGAACATTTCTTATATTTATTCTAAGAGCATGCGGGTTTTTTTAAAAAATGGATGAGGAACACCGGACTAACTAGATGATTTCTAAGGAGCCCTCCAGCTCTTGCATGCTGCAAACATTTCTTGACCAACTACTGAGTGCAAGGCTTGGGAATTCAGAGATGCAAGAGGCTTTGAGGTCAGGGCTGTCCAGATCTGGAAAGGCCTCAGAGTCCAGGTGTAGGGAAGGGACTTTCTCTTCCATTGACGGGAAAAAAAGGTGGGGGTGGATTTTTAGGCACCCCTAAAAGAGCTGGGCTCAGAGCTGCCCCCAAAGGAAGATTATAGACACACCCAGCACTTGAGATTTTTCAGGGTTTATCCCCTTCCCTTAGAGACATGGACAATCAAGCTTGAGAGAAGGGCCCAGGCCAGGGGAACCAAGTCTGACCGGGGGTACTGTGGAGAGGATGCCATATAATATATACATAACCAGATTTAGGGGACTCAACAGCAGTCAGCACTCCCCCCCCCATAGCTTTCACTTTGTTAGAGCAAACACAATTTTTTTATACGATTTTATTTATTTATTATTTGACAGAGAGAGAGCACAAGCAGGGGGAGCTGCAGGCAGAGGGAGAGGGAGAGCAGGCTCCCCGCTGAGCAGAGAGCCCGATGCGGGGCTCGATTCCAGGACCCTGGGCCCAGGACTGGAGCCGAAGGCACAGGCTTAACTGACTAAGCCACCCAGGCGCTCCAGCAAGCACACTTTTAAGAATCTCCTGTGTGCCAATCTCCTCCTCCCAGAGGAGGGCACTGTAAATCTGAGACCAGGGCATCGGTTTAGGAAAAATGAGCTTATCATAAATATTGTGCTTACTGAGAGCCCGCTGCAGGCACAGTGCTGAAGGCTTGACCTGCAATATCTTATCCATTTTTTTTTTTTTAATTTATTTGATAGAGAGAGGGAACACAAGCAGGGGGAGCTGCAGGCAGAGGGAGAAGCAGACTCCCCGCTGAGCAGGGAGCCCCATGGGGGTCTCAATCCCAGGACCCCGGGATCATGACCTGAGCCGAAGGCAGACGCTTAACCAGCTGGACCACCCAGGCGCCCCTATCTTACGCATTTACCACCGGCAGAAGAGGAGACTGAGCCTTGGAGAGGTTCACAAGGCCTACCCACCTGCAAACTCACAGTCCATCAAGGTTGTTTCGGGGACCCCACCAAAATTTCTACACATGGGAGGAGCCTATGGGAGGGCAGGCTTTTTGGAATGGAAAACCTCAAGTACTTGTTCTGTTTATTTGGGGTAACAACCCCTTGGCACTGTCAAGGGTATTTCTTTCTTTGTGGATCTGTATATTATTTTAAGATGCAAATTGTTATGGGTACGATTTGAGGAATAAGGCTCCCTCCCCCCCCAACTCCCGCCCCTTCATACCGAGGGGAAAACCCACAGAACTCTCGTTTTTTAAAAGTCCAGCCTTCGGCCTCTAAGCGGACTGGTGCACGCGCTGGAGGCAGGAGCGCCTCGGCGGCGCTGAGGCTCTTTGAAGTCCAGAGGTCCTTCCGGGGACCCAAAAGTCAACCGAGGTCAGCCGCCCATGGGGCGGGGCGAAGCGGTCTGGGGCGGAGCTCGCCGCGGCCCCGCGCGCCGGCGCCGGGAAGTGACGTGTGCGGACAAAGGCAGCGCGCGCCGCGGGGTGTAGTGTTTGTCGGTGGTCTGGCGGAGCTGGTGGTGGGCTTGTGGGTTCTTCGCTGCCGCCCCCGGCCGCCTTCCCTTCTTCTTTCCCGTCCTCTTCTCCCGGGTCCCGGGAGCCCCCGCCCGGGGTGAGTAGCGCGAGGCGGAGCGGGGAGCGGTGGCCGGCGGGGGAAGGGAGGTCCCGGCCCCCAACTGCCTCGGCGCCCTGCGGCCCCGGCTTGTCACGTGACCCGGCGCGAGCTGCCCGGGCCCCCACGTGCTCGCCCCCGGGTGGTCGGACCTGGGCCGCCGGTGGCGGCGGGTGGAGGAGGAAGGCCCCGAGGCGCCCGGACCCTGGACGGGGCACTCCCCCGCGCCGTCTCGGGGCCGTAGCTAGACCCTTCCCTCTCTGAGCCTCAGTTTCCCCTGTGAGAAACGGGGATTAAGGAGAGCACGCACTCGGAGGGTAGGTGTCAGGACGCAGTAAAACGCTCAGGTCGGAGCTGGGCACAGCGTAGTGCCCGTTGCATGGGAGTTGCTATCCTATTTCACCTTGGACCCAACCCCAGATATGGCTCGACACTGGTGTCGCTCACAACACAGCTCGCCGCCGAGAGCCCTTGGAGCCAAGGTCAGCCAGTTTGCGGAGGGGCTGTCCTATCGAACGAAAGGCCCCGCCCGGCTCTGCTGCCCATCAACGGCGGGATCGCTCTGGGATAGAAACAGCTGGTGTCGGAGGCCCTGACGGTGGGGTGGGGTAGTCTTGCAGATGGTCTGGATGTATAGAATCATTGCCCAGGGAGAGGGGCTGAGCCCTTGGAGGACTAGGGCCTCGACTGTTTTAAGAAGTCTGGATTCCCTCCTTATGCTGTTCCTGGTTTCCTGTGTGTGTTTGTGTTAAGGCACATCACTCCTTTAGTGGAATGGTTTTCTATCCCTCAACTGGGTTTGGGGGGAGGGCTGGAAGTACATGTGGAATGCTTTGGTGGGGAGCAGAAGCCATAGAGTCGCAAAGAGAGCGGCTCCAGAATCTCTGCAGTGTTTCTGTGCTTGCAGGGATGGGACGCTCACTCCCCTCCTGTACGTTTGCAGAGCTGTTTGTCCGCTGGGTTGACCCCTAGCATCACAGTAATAATCCCTTAGGTGTGTCCAACACTACAGTTTCTAGGGCATTTCACTGCATTTTTCCCTTTTGACCTCTACAATTGGCAGAGAATTGGTGAAAATCTCCTTTGACAGAGATTTCTAAACTTGAGATGATACGTGCCTGCCACTGTACAGATCACTTGATGCTTTCACACCCACCTTTAATCATCACAGCGTTCTTGTAAAGTCAACATTGCTCTTCCCATTTTATAGATAAAGAAACTTACCTCCTAACTGAGGTTAAGTGTCTTGTCTGAGCTTACACAGTCGGAGAGAAGCAAAGCCAGGATTCGGACGTGGTTCATTTGACTCCACCAGAGCCTTAGTTTGTTTTTAAACACTCCCATCTCCCTTCCGCTCCCAGCCTTTTTTAGTCTTCTTTACTTCCTCCTTCCCTTTCTTTTTCATAGAGCACCTTGCCATTCCCATATGTCCAGCTGCTGTCTCAGATCCAGGGAGAACAGGCCCTGTTCAGCAGGCTGCAAGAGGGAGGAGGTGACTTCAGGCAGGCTCTTGTCTCCTGTTAATTTCAGGCTTTTTCTTAGAGACTGGTAAATATGTGGATGCGATGCCTCCCCAGACCACTGTCAGTGACAGTTTAAACACCGTTCCTTTCCATGGATCCTGGGAGAAGTAGTAGCTGGGGCGGCTGCCCACCTGTCCCCCTAAACACCTCGGAGGGGAAGAGGAGGTGGCCAGATGACTGTGAATGGTGCACAGCACATTCTGTCTGCCGAACAGTGTCCGCTATGAGCAAAGGCTTCTCCCGTCCAAGCTAGTCGAGAGTGCACACAAAGCCAGATTGTGCCCAGGCCCTTTCCCACCCCTGCAGCCATGTAGCTCCTCACCACAGCCTGGGCAGACTATATGAGGACTTCTGCTATTTGACTGACAACCCCACTGTTCCCTGTGACCCCTGGGGACCTCCTGCCCAATCCAGTCTGGACACCAGGAGGCAAGGTGTAGACAGTGCCCCAGGGAGTCACATTTACTAATGAATCAGCTGTTGGAACAAATGTCAAAATTAGACTTGCCATTTCCTGGCCTGGATGTTCCTCCCCTGGCTTGTTCCTAGAATCTGCCTGTAAGTGGAGTTCTTGTAAATTAGATTATTCAGAGGACCTTGACATTTAAAGAAATCATGTTGTAAGGCTTTTGGTAAAGCAAAAAAAATTACATTGTCGGTAATGGCCTTCAGTGTTACCAGTTTTGAATGGTTGGATTTTTGTAGGATTTTCTCAAAAGTGGAAAACGTAGCCCCACAAAGCTCATTCTTTGGTTCATTCAGCAACCAATTAGCATTCCCCCGCTTTGTGTCCGGTGCTGGGCTAATCGGGAATGAGGTCATATCCCTGTCCCCAGGAAGTTGACCTCCTTGGGAGGGAAGGCAGGCAGGCAGAGAGAGTCCAGGGACGCGAGTGGCCCCACATTTATTGCGTTCATTTCGTGGGGCGTGAACTTTGTGTTGAATGCTACATGGGACGCAAGAGAAATACGGTGATACACCTCAGGGTGTTGCCACTGTTCTCCAAGGAGCTCCCAGGCCGGTGGGGAGATAGAGAAGACAAAACCAGCAGTTTGCCAAGATTGGTGAGCAGTGATGGGGACAGGGTCGGTGTTGCCGAGCTCCCGCCTGAGTGCTGAGTGGAAGAGCCAGCTTTGATGCCGTCCTTCCTGGGTAATGGTGGAGAGGCTGTGACATGGCAACTGTGGGGCCTGTTGGCGGGGGCTGGGCAGCCCCCAGACTGAGCTCTGTGGCGACATTCAGGCCGGTGGCCCTCTTTCCTGTCAGCTCGCAGGGACAGCACTGTATGTGATATAGGAATGATAGCATTCCTGGCTATCAGCAGGTTTCTGCGTTCTTTTGCTTTACCCTGTGACTCAGCGCTGTCATTCTTGTTGAGCAGTGTGCCACTTTCTCTTTCCCCCACTGGTGTGGGACATGGCGGCGAGCCAGGGTGAGGGGATGCTGTATTTAGAATCAGCGTTCCCCCCCCCCGCCCCCGCCGCCGGCCTGTTACCCCAAAGGACCCTTCAACTGACACAGTGGTTGAAACTTGCCTTCACTGTGGTCCCAGACCCTTGTAACCTGAACAGGGAAGCTGGAGCGTCAGCCGGAGAACTGATTCAAGAATCTGAAGGGGATTGGAGGACTCTCCACACAGCAGAAGGGCTCTAGAGGGCGGAAACAGTGACAGTCACAGGTCTAAGAACTGGACCTGTTAGGGCACGTGGATGCTGTCGCTTCTCTTCTGATTCCTCAGAGGGCCAGCATGGCCTTGTCCGTGAGGAATGTCCCGAATCCAGGAAGGAGCCAGGAGATGGGGAGGGGGACCCTCCCCCAGTGCCTCCGCTGGCTAGCTGCGGTCCTTGGAAAGGGCTGACCGTGGTGGACGCAGGATTGCATCAGTGAAGAGCATTCCTGAGTTGTTGGGCTGAGGTGGGCCTGCTGCTTCTGGAAGGTTCCTTATCTTCTAGGACAAGTTTAGAGTACAGTTGTGCACTGGGGATTAGTGACAAACGTGGCCAATGAAAATTCTTCACCTCTTCTCGTGTTTTGTTCCCTTTCCTTCTCTCCTTATAGTCAGTCTCTAAATTACATATCGAGGGCCGTATGCTTGGCCTCAGGGCACTTTTCTCTTTCCCATCAGATGACTTCTCTTGAAGCCCTTAAGGCATTCCTCCATCCTAGAGGTTTTTCACTTGTTTTGAGCACTCCCCTGGGGTCCCACATGAAGCTTTGCTGTCACCCTGTGTTCCAGGACTCAGTGACTTAACTACCACCCAGTGGAGTGGTGTAAAGGTGGAGGGAGTGCAGCGCCAGGAGCATAGTCCTGCAGTGTTCCTGGTGGATTGGGCGGTGGGGGCCTTCACCCCTGCACCAAGGGGCTTCTGTGGGCTTGGTGCTGGGGACAACAGTGGTGAACAGGCAGGGTTGCGCCTCTGGAGCTTCCGTCCCAGTGGGGGCTAGACAGCAAGTAAACAGTGTAATTTCAGATAGAAGTACACATTCTGAAGGCAGGAAAACGTGGGGATTGGATTGGGGTGTTGGAGGAAGCCACCTTAGCGGGGCCCGTCAGGGAGGGCCTCTGAGGATGTGACCCCTAAGCTGAGAGCTGTCTTCCCACGACGCTGCTGCGTGTCCCCACTGCCAGTGGTTCCTGCCGCCCCCACTCGGCCCCCACTCTGCCTGTTGGGCCCGTCGCCGCTTACAGCCCGGCACACCTAGGGCCCTTCGGAAACTCTCAGCTGATTGGTGTTCCGTTACCAACGGGCTAGGCCCATGGCCGCCGGCGTATCGTTGGGGCCTCCCGTGATCCAGGCCCAGTCGGCCTGTCTAAGCTCATCTCCCATAATACCCTCTCCTGCATTCCAACCAGCCCAGGCCGTCCCCAGAACCGTCTTCCGGGTGGCACACAGGCGCTGCCCCCTCTGTCTGTCCCTGTTCGAGCCCCCCCCCCCCCATCACCTGTCTTTCAGGGCCTAGCTCAGGTTGCCTTCTCTCGGCTGCTCCTCCATCTGCCATTCCGAAGGGAGTCCTCCATTCTTTTTGAGTTTCCACAGGACTTTTGGCTCAGTGAGCGTCTCACTGTTTCTGCCTTGTGTTTTAGTTGGTTCCCCTTGTTTCAGTCTCCCGCTGGACTGGAGGCTCCCTGAGGGTCAGACAGTGTCTCAGCAAGCCCCAGAGCAACTAGAACAGCACCTGCACATGGCGAATGCGTTGCGGGGGCCGGTGCCTCAGGATAGAGATGTGACCCTTCTGCCCCTCCCTGGCATGAGTGGCTGGGCTGGCTGGGTGTGCAGCTGCCGAGCCCTCCCCCTCCCCCAGTCCCTGGCTCTTGCTTTGTCGTTACCCTCCACCTGTCATGGTAACACTCTCTTGGTGTGTCTGCTTTCACTGTCGCCCCCGAAGCCCACACGGCTGCTGACACAGTCTTTCAGAAACACACATCTCTTGTCACTCCCTGCTTACTCTAGAGTAGTTCAACCTCACTGCTCTTAGCGGGGAGTCTAATCTACGGATGTGCCCCCTCCCTGTGTTTCCAGTTGCAGGCACTCTGTGTGCCTTTCCCACCTGTCTTCCTGGAGCAGGCTCGCCCCATTGGCTTAGTGAACTCTTCTTACTGTTTCAGCTAATGGTGGTTCTCTGCGAGAGGCCTTCCTCGGCTCCCCAGGGACGCACTTCCTCTCGGGTGTGCTGCGCCCGCATCTTGTACTTGTCCGCGGCCCTGCAGCTGCCAGTGTGTGCATGGAGCTGTCTGCCCACTTCCCGGCACAGTGCCTGGTACACTGTCCCAGCACATGGTTAACCCAAGACCGGACTCCACAGCCAGCTTCATTCTGTGCTCGCGAGTGAGAGGGAGGCATGCAGACCCCCCAGGCCCCTCCCAGGGTCAGCCAGGACACCCACGGCAGAAGGCTGGGGCTCCTTGCTTCACTCTCCTCAAGTGTACATTGGGAGTTCTCTATGCCCTAGGGTCAGGTGTCATGTTTAGTAAGGAAAGGACTAGAAGCCCAGGACTCTGGGTCTCCTCCTCTGGTACAAAGGTAATTTTGCAAAATGACTTGAATACAAGAGACAGAAGGTACTGTCATCCACGGGATAGAAGCGGTTTTGGGGACACTGGACATTTCTCTACATCGGGCAGGGTTGTGTGACCTCGTGAAGCATGCGGTGAGACTGAGGCCCTCAACCTGGCTGATTTGCTCTTTTTTGTTGTTCAAGAGGCACTGTTGCTGAGTTTGGTGCCTGAGCTGACTCGGTTGGTGACAGCATGACAAGTGAGGTGATAGAAGACGAGAAACAGTTCTATTCGAAGGCCAAGACGTACTGGAAGGAAGTCCCGCCCACAGTGGACGGCATGCTCGGGGGGTATGGCCACATCTCCAGCATCGACATCAGCAGCTCCCGGAAGTTCCTGCAGAGGTTTTTGAGGGTAGGCAGGTCTGGCGTGCCGCCTAGGAGCAGAGGATGTGGCCCTGGTGGCCCGGCCTGGTCTGCGCGGGGCGCCACCTTTTACAGGAACCACCGCAGGGCCTTTGGTTATCGGTTGGCGTCAACCACTCAGGCCTCGAAGGGTGGTGCGGGGGTGGCGTGCGGACTGGGGCCTCCGTCTCAAGGTTGCCACATGGGAGCTGGCTGCTGTGCGGGGGCTCCTGGGCACCAGAACGGAGTCTTCCTTTAACTGTTCGGTTTTGTCAGGGGCGAATCCTCCGCTCTCTTGCCGTGTTTGCGGGCTGTTGGGCTGTGGGTGCTGGCTGTTCTGCTAAAGGCAGGCTCTTGGCTCCTGACCTGCTCTGCCCTCCACTTGTGCCAGGCTGGCGTGTCCCTGGCTGCAGCCTCCCCTGGCAAGCATCAGAGGCTGGTGCTTGCTCCCCACGCTATGTGGGGTCTCCCCTCCCACTTCCCGCCTTCCCTGATCTGTGAAAATCACCGACGGCCTTCCATTTTTCACAGCTTGAATTCTTTTCATCCTGTGGTTTTACTGGGGTGTCGGGAGTGAGAGGAGATAAATGCACCTGAAAATTCAAGTTAATCACTTTTAAGTGGCAGTCGGCTTGCGTTTTAGGAATGCGTCCCCCAGGCAAGAATGTGCTGTGTGGTCCTACCCACCGGTGACCCCCCGTGCCAGCCCCCGGCCTGGGTCCAGTCCTGATTTGAGTACCTGGGAGCTTGGGAGGAACAGCCCCTTCTCGGGGAAAGGGTCCCTCGGACTCTGAGCCTTCCTTACGGAGTCTGTGCCTTCCCTGCTTCTCAGGAAGGCCCAAACAAGACGGGGACCTCCTGTGCCCTGGACTGCGGGGCTGGCATAGGCAGGATCACCAAGCGACTGCTGCTGCCACTCTTCACGGTGGTGGACATGGTGGATGTGACAGAAGACTTTCTGGTCAAAGCCAGGACGTACCTGGGGGACGAGGGCAAGAGGGTGAGGAACTACTTCTGCTGCGGCCTCCAGGACTTCAGCCCTGAGCCCAGCTCCTATGATGTCATCTGGATCCAGTGGGTGATAGGTGAGCTTTCCGTGGCCCTCTCTACCTTCCACGTACCTCCTGCTGCAGGGGCGGGTCCGTGTCCCCCCCCCACTCCCCGCTCCCCGCTTTGGACGGCGGCCCCAGTGCTCCTGTAGGGGGCAGGAGGGCAGGGCTTTCTCCGGTCCTCCCTGGGCTCGCCTTCCATGCTTTGTCAGTACCTGTTGAGACCCACTTGGGTACAGTTTTTGGTTGAAAAAATGTAAATGACCAATAACTGCATTCAAATTATGTGGAAATGAGTTTTTATAAGTAAATGTTTTTTAATAAGAGGAAAAATTGAAGCCTCGGCTGCCCCTGCTGTTCACAGCAAGTGAGCCTTGCTTTGCCGTCCCTCCTGCACCCACTTAGCCCCACAGCACGCCCAGGGTGCTCTCCCTGGGCTGCTGACCTGGCGGGCAGACCGCTGTACCAGCAGTTGGCCACCCACTCCACAGCAGACACCACAGCCCTGCTGGGGACACACTGGGTCTGGCCCTGTATTTTGTGGTCCCTAAGAGCCTGTCTGGAATTCTAGTAGGGAAGGAACGGTTTGGTTATGCACTCCCTAATCCAGGCCTTGGGGGTGGAGGAGGCGGGTGGTAGCCTGGAGCCTAGGTGTTGGGCAGGGCTCAGAAGTCACCAAGTCAGGGTGCAATCCCAGTTGTGTACTTTGTGACAGCGCTTGGGTGAGTGGCTTCTGAGCCAGCTTCCTCTTACATAGAACGGGATTTGGTAAGCCTCTCTGGACTGCTGAGCACCAGGGAGGCCCCGTGCGTTTAGACAGAGCTCAGTAAGTCTGAGCGGAGGCTGAGAGACTGGGCCAGTGGTATGAACGCGCTTGGCACCACTCCCTCGTGACTCCAGCCTCTGCTGTCCCCAGGCCACCTGACTGATCAGCACCTGGCGGAGTTCCTGCGGCGCTGCAAGCAGGGCCTGCGCCCCAATGGCATCATCGTCATCAAAGACAACATGGCCCAGGAGGGCGTGATCCTGGACGACGTGGACAGCAGCGTGTGCCGGGACCTCGAGGTGGTCCACAGGATCGTCCGCAGCGCAGGCCTCAGCCTCCTAGCCCAGGAGCGCCAGGAGAACCTCCCCGATGAGATCTACCACGTCTATAGCTTAGCCCTGAGATGAGCAGGGGATGGCCGGAGAAAGGGACCAGTGCGGGGTGGGGGGCTGGCAGCCGGGCAAGACCCAGAGGCTCCATGATGATGGTTCGGGAGTGCTGAGCGAGACTGCTAAATATACCTGTCTGCCGTCCGTCACTAGACTCTTTTTCAAAAGGCATAATGGGACCCAGTGGGGAGGGGCGCCACTGAACAGAGCGTGAGGCTGGAGCCTGGCTCTGCGGCCCTGAGAGGCTGGGACCGGGCAGTGCAGACCATGGGCCTCCAGGGCCCCTGGGGCTCCCCACGTGAGAATACAGTGATCCCACCAGAAGTGGGAGATTTCCTGGATCTCCCTTTCAACCACCTAGCCTTCCAGCCACAGGCCTGGGTGCCTTAAGAGGAAGAGAACTCTCGGTTGTTGAGGACTTTTTCCCTTGGGGGGAGGAGAGGAGCCAGGCCGTGGAGCCTGCAGCTGCCAGGGATACTCATGTTCTGAGGCCTGTTTGGTGATGGGAGCCCTGGTGTCCCTGACGTGACCGTCACAACGGGCTACGGCAAGGGAAGTCTGCAGCCTCACCCTTGGCTGTGCCTTGCAGCTCCTCCTTGGTGAGAATTTTCAGTCAAAAAATAAAAGGGTAAATCCTGTACTGGGAAGGCCCTGGCCAGTCTGGAGTGGTGCTCTTCTTTACTGGGACAACAGTGCGGGGCTGCTTGGATACTGTCCCCACCAGATGCTGCCATCCCCTTGTGCCTCTCACCTCTTCTTAATGGCTGGGTGCGAGCCTCTGTCCTAGGCTGGGGGAGGGTGCGGAGGGGGCCAAAACGTCATACAAGGACCTTGAAGGCCAAGAGAAGCATTTTTCTTTATAATGTATCCTTTAGTTGCCTCAGCTTGCCTCCCCAGCATTCACACAATTCACAAGGACCCACGTGACTGGGAAGCGGCTTCGTGAGGGCTCAGTGTGGACAGTAGTCAGCTTGCAGTATTGGTAGCTTTCATGATCAGATGAACCCCTCATAAAACAGACATTTTGGAAAGGACTGTCCCTGGTCATGCAGGATTGCTTTTTAGCAGAAGGCACAGTCCCCCAAGATCCCAGGTTTGGCATAGGGCTGCCACCGGAATCCAGTCCTGTGCCTTGGTGGGCCGGGCCATGGATGACCTGGCCCCAGAGCAGCCAAAGATGGCAGGGGTCAGCTCAGCTTTCTCCCTGGCCCACCGAAAGCACTTTTGTAAGTGACCTAATAATCTAGCATGGGGAGAGGTGGGAGTAAAGGGCCTCAGTGGGGTTGTGCCCCCACAGGCCCGCCGTGCTTCCTTCTGACTTCAGCTGGGCCCCATGCAAGACAGACCAGCCTCCTGCAGTTCTCAGGACCGAGACTCAGAGCCACCCTGCCTGATGCTCCCCGTAGATGAACAGGGTGTACACTCGTCCCAAATCGAAACCCGGTCCTTTTTCCCAATGTGGTTGAGACTGGGAGTTCTGCCAAACAGAAGAGGGGCAGTCCCCCTGGAAGACGAAGCCTTTTCCCACTGGAATGACTGCAGCTGCTGGGCTCCACCTGGTTTTCTTGGTACGCAGTGAGGATCAAGTCTCGTCTCCCAACCTCTACCTTCTGACAGAAGGCCGGAAGGTTCTCCCCTAAGGCTGCCGCAGGTACCAAAATCCACCAGGAGACTGAGCTGCCCAGACCCTGCTCCCTTCGGTTTGGCAATGGTCAGATGTCCTCTTCAACAGCACCGCTGTGCTCACTAAGGAGGTACCACTTCAGCCTGTCGGGCAGAGGTAGGGCTTTGACCTTCACATCCACAGGCCAGGGCTGGAGATAGAGCCGGATATAAACGCGACACAGGTGCTTGAGGGACGGAGGATAGCTCTCCAGCTGCCTCAAGGAGAAGTGAAGGGCCTGGATCTTTTCTGCCAGGCTGCCCACAGGATGGATATCGAAGTTTTCAGGCAGCTGAAGTTTCTGGGAATTAGTCACCATGAGATCCAGGACGGTCTCGGCCTTGCGCAGGAGGTCCACGTGGCTCTCATCTTCAGCACAGCCTGGGTGGGAACAGAGCCGCTCAAAGATGATGTGGAAGCCAGACCAGCAGGATGCACCATGGAGGGAACAGTTATAGGCTGCTCCGGACTCCAGCAAGAAGCGCAGGAGAGGGAAATGCAGTTTGAAGCTCTTGAGGCAGATGTGTGTGAGCGACTCGTGGGCTGGGCACTCGCTGGGGTCGGCCCCGTGGGCCAGCAGCAACTGCGTGACTTGGAAGCAGAAGCGGCTGATCATCTGGGCCTCCTCTTTGTCCCCTCCCACGGTCTCACCAAGCAGGAAGATGATGCAGGTGAACACGGTGTCCCCATCTTTGGTGGTGGCCTTGACATCTGCGCCTACAAGAGCCAGTCAGGAAAAGAGAAGATGGGAGGTCTTAAACCCCTGCAAAGTAGTGCTTCGTGTGTAATGGTGGGAGGGAAGGGCAAGGCCTAGGAACAGCCCGCAGACGAGTCTCACCTCCTTCCAGTAGGAGCCGGATGTTCTCAGTGTTATAAATCTGCACCCCGTCGCTACTGGCCAAGGCGTGGAGCAGAGCAGTCTTTCCTACAGGAGACAGAGAATGAGGAGTGGGGACCAGGAAGCTGAGGTCAGGGCAACCCCTGAGGTGCAAGGGAAACCACTCAGGATGAGAAAGTGAACTTTTTTTTGTTTGTTTGTTTTCAAGGATTTTATTTATTTATTTTAAAGATTTTATTTATTTGACAGAGACACAGTGAAGAGGGAACACAAGCAGGGGGAGTTGGGAGAGGGAGAAGCAGGCTTCCCGTGGAGCAGGGAGCCCGATGCGGGGCTCGATCCCAGGACCCTGGGATCATGACCTGAGCCGAAGGCAGCTGCTTAACGACTGAGCCACCCAGGCGCCCCAAGGATTTTAAAGTAACCTCGACACCCAACGTGGGGCTTCAACTCCTAACACTGAGATCAAGTCGTGTGCTGCTCTACCAGCTGAAGCCAGCCAGGTGCCCCTTTAAAAATGACTGACCTCTCAGCCAAGGCTGAGGGTGACCGGTCTGCGGTCATTCTCTTTCCACCCACACAAAACCAGGAGCAGAGTGGACCGAAGAGGTGGGATTTTTCAGGACACTCAGATGCCACCTGAGACCCAAGTCTTTGCCAAGAAGAAGTCATGGCTCTCCCCGACCCCCGCCCCAGAATCTGACCACACGCATGCCCCACTTCATCCTACAGACAAGACCTCAAGGAGCTGGTGTGGGGCCAGTGGCCGCACCACTTCCCAAAAGCCTCTGCAGGTCAACAAAATCCACTGGGAGCCTGGCTGCGCTGTGTCATCAGACAGGCTGCATCCAGCCTGTATGCCTAGCCACTGCCCTAGGGTGCTCTGGGTTTCCCTCACAAGGCACCCTGCTTTCCCCTGGGAGGCACCCACCATGCTTGTCAGCCGCGTTGACATCCGCTCCGAGGTCCAGGAGGCGCTGCAGGCAGGGCAGGCGCTCAGGCTCCTCACTGGCCAGGTCCAAGGGGCTGCTCTCGTGGATCTGAGCCAAGCAAGCACAACTGAGTGGGCCCGGGGGGCCTGGGAGGCTGCTCATGGCCCCTCCCCCCACCACATCCCTGCTTCCGAGCAGGCCGGACCCGGCTCTTACCCGGTCCCTCCGGTTAATGTCCGCCCCGTGGCGCACCAGCAGCTCTACCATGTCTGGCTGGTTTCGCAGGACAGCGATGTGCAGGGCCGTGTAGTAAGTGACAGGGTCTGAAAGCACGGACATGGCTCGTGTCAGGCCTGCCTGTCCGCACCCGGCCTCTGGCTCGCCCCAGCCCTCCCATCGGAGACCCGGGCTTCTGGCACCGTGAGGGGTCCGGACAGAGCCACCCCCAGCAGAGACCAGAACGCAGGCGCCGGAGTCAGACCTAGGGCAGGGTCCCGGGGGGCAGGCAGCCCCTCTGTCTGGGCTTTAGTCTCTTCTGTAAAATGGAACCGTAAGACAAGGCGCCTCTTCTCAGGCTGCTGGGAAGAGGCACCTCAAACGACGGCTCCTGAAGCCTCACAGTAACAGCCACGTTCTCGAAGCCAGTCTCCAAGTGACTGACTTCATAACAGCCCACACCCTGGGCTCCTTGGCCCTCCCCGAGCCTAGCGCCCTCTGTGCCTGTCCTCACACGGGGAGGGGAGGCGTGCCCAGCCACATACTGTGGCAGCTCAAAGACCTGCATTGGTCACGAGTCAGCCCTGCATGTCTCCTGGCTGACCCTGCCCTCCCCAGTGAGAAAGCCACAGAGGAAAGGAAAATGGCTCCATCTCCACCCCCTGGCACCTCCAGGCTAGAAGCTAACCGGTCCCTGCCGTGATTTACTCCCAGCGTCACTTCTGTGTTATCCCCTCTCCTTGTGGCATGGGCAAAAATGCGAGATGGCTCAGAATAACTGGCAGAAAATTGCTCTCCCTGAGCTCTGGGCACAGTGCCAGCAGCCGCATTTTCATGTTAATGGAAGCGGGGATTTAGCTGGGAAAGTCTGCTGATCAAGCACATGGTGGAGGCAGCAACAAACTCACTCTCGGACCAGAGGGGGTCAGAGCCATTTGAAAGCCCACAGGGGGATGGGGTTCCTCAGTCGCCACGCATGGAAGAAATAAGGGAAGCGGCTCCCAAGAGAACCAGAAAGGCAGAGCCACCCTTAAGCCACCTATCCCTCCCCAGCCCCTCTGGGCTCCAGCTGACCTTCAAAGTTGAGGTTGGCCCCGTGGCGCAGGAGAACGTCGGCCGCCCAGGTCAGCCCCAGCTCGGCCATCTTCAGCAGGGCATTGCTCACACCTTCCTGGTAAAACGGAGAGTGGGCTTTTCTCTCCAGCAGCTCAGTGAGAACAAGGATTCGGCTCTCCTCGCTGGCAACATAACTGGGCCTGGGGCAGCAGAGGGGTGGACCAGTTGGGGGGAGGCAGCTGTGAGACCAGCTAGCCTGGGCACCCCGTGGGTGGGTGGTCTTCTGCTGTCATCACCCCCACTCCCTCCAAGGCAGGGCCCTGGTTCTGTGGGGCAGAAAGTCTCTGGAAAAGGCCTGTGGTAGCAAGAGAGCAAGCTGGACCTTTTAACCCAAGCTGACTCCTCGGGTTTGCTGAGAAAGAACTGGGGCTGACTCCAGCCTCCTCCCCAGTTGCCCAGACAATCTGGTCCCTGGCTCGGGTACAAAGCCTCACACAGCTGTGCTGCTGGGCCTGAAGGGAGCCTCTGCAGAGCCAGGAGCAAGAAGTGGACACTGACACCCCTTCCCCTGACACTGACCATCCCTGAGCTGCCAAGGCGGCCAGACCAGACCAAGCAACCCTGGCAGCCGGGGCCGCCCAGGCCCTCCTGCCGCACTCACACTCAGAGACGCTTACCCCACCCCCCCACCCCCTGTCCCCAGAAGGCTGTGCGCACACATGGCCCTTCACACCCTAGCCCCCACCCTACCTGCCCACCAGCCCTAACCTCCAAGACTTCTGTGGCTTTCCCCAAAAGCGCAGGCCCAGGGACAGCTCCGTGAACCGGTACACAGTTCCTTCACAGGCCGCCACCTCCTCCGGGTGAGGCTTCCCTTCCTCACCAACGCTCCCCCCTCCCCTTAGCCTCATCCCTCTTCAACCCTTCAATTATCAGG